TATGTGTTTCCCTGCAACAGTGAGAACAGCAGGGCCTCAGTAGTGTGTGTGTGTGTGTGTGGGTGTGGGTGGGTGGGTGGTCTGAAAAGACAGCACCATACAATTAATCACACACTAGGGGACTGTTATCCTGGCCCTGTCATAAGTAAAGACAAAACTACTTTTGATACCTCACACTTTGCCTACATATCTGGAAATGCTTGTGTAGATGTTGTGTGCCGTAACAAATTCTGAATTATTCCTTTAATTAGTATTCCAGTAGTTTTATCCTTATCCCTACTGTGTTTGTGGCACTGTAGGGTAGCTATAAGGTCTCTCACTTTATTGCAGAAGATTTATCCCTTATCCCTAATGCTGATGAATTATAATCCGAATTCTTAAACACTGAGTGTGTGTGAGATTTGTATACACTCACTTATTTGCTCCCTGGTTTGTGTTACACAGCGGTGCTTTTGACCTCTGTGGGTTTCCACTTTCAATTCAAACAATGAACAGCTGAACTCCAGACAGCTGTCAATATATGACCATGTGTGTGTGTGTGTGTGTGTGTGTGTGTGTGTGTGTGTGTGTGTGTGTGTGTGTGTGTGTGTGTGTGTGTGTGTGTGTGTGTGTGTGTGTGTGTGTGTGTTTTCCAGGTTGCAGCCAACACTCCCAGTATGTATTCTCAGGAACTGTTCCAGCTCTCCCAGTATCTACAGGTAACCCACTGACACCTACTGGTCTTTCTGTGGAGCTACACTAGAGATAATGAAGCACTAAATGAGTAACGTTTGGTTCATGTTGTAACATGTATTTAGTGTCAGAGAACCAATCATGCAATGTAGAATATGTTCAGTGCGGACAGGAGACAGAGGACAGGAACTCTTGATCAGGAATGACCTAATTATATAAAGCAGATCAAAATGTTTAGATTTAATAGCAAGTCGGGCACATTGCAGGACAGGAAATAAATATGAGTGAGGCACAGTTGAGCTCTTAAGCTGAGGAAATGGCCAGGAATATTTACTAAGACTAATGTTACCTCGTCTTTTTGAGGTCTTTGATCAAAAACATGATCCCAGCATAAAATCTGATATTTTCCATTCCAAAGAGTAGTCTCCCTTTTAGTCGCAATTGTTTCTTCATATGCACTAGTACAATATTATTTTTTTATTTTATTTAAATGTACCTCTGATTATTTATTTATTTTACAATTTCCCCTCAAGGGATTCATATTGTTTTGTTTTTTTCTTTGATCTAAAAACTGAATACAACTTTAAGCCCTGTTTTCTTCTCTGTAAATTACCCTGTTGATTTACTTCCCTTTCAGTCATTGAATTGATCTTATTCAAGTCATTGTTTTCCCCACCTCTCTTTCTATTAGGAGGCCTTACACAGAGAGCAGATGTTGGAGCAGAAGCTCGCCACTCTGCAGCGTCTGTTGGCCAACACACAGGAAGCCTCGGAGAGCAGCTGGCAGGTAGGAAACACCTTTTATAGTTTGATCCTTAATGTCATGATACATCCCAACAGCTGAACAGTAGTTTACACTATCATTTAAGATTAATTTGAAAATGCACACTGTCATTTGCCTTTGCATGAAAGGTTTCTCCATCATTCCCTTTTATCTTAAATGATCTGAACAAATCAAATCTGTGTCCTCCCCAGGCTCTGATTGATGAAGACCGCCTGCTTTCCAGACTGGAGGTGATGGGCAGTCAGCTGCAGGCTTACTCTAAGGTAATAATGTGTCTCTGTTAGAGTATTTCATGATAACACATTCTCCTGCACTAAATGGATCCAAAGTCAATTGAAATGATCATCTATTTATTTATTTAAAAATCCTTCTGCTCTTCTGTCACAGTCTCAGCCGGAGGAAGGGATCCGTAAGGAGCTCCTGGCTCTCCAGGAGGACAAACACAACTACGAAACGACGGCCAAGGAGTCTCTGAGGAGAGTCCTGCAGGAGAAGATCGAGGTGGTCAGGAAGCTGTCAGAGGTGGAGGTAGGTCACACATCTACATACTGTATGCAATCTCTATGATGATCATTGGCATTTTTAGTCATTGGACTTTTTGTTGTTGCTGCTGTCCTGCAGCGCTCGCTCAGTAACACGGAGGACGAGTGCACCCACCTGAAGGAGATGTCCGAGCGGGGCCAGGAGGAGCTGAGGGAGCTCGCCAACAAGTACAACGCCGCCGTCAACGAGATCAAAGAGCTCACGGAAAAAATTAAGGTACCTGCAAAGGCTGGAATGTATTTATGTTGTTACTCTAAATTATATAGGATATAATCTCCCTGCAATGTTATTCTACTTAACACAATTTGTGTGTGGCGCAGTGGCCTAGTGCGTTGGTGTTCGGATCAGGGGGTCACAGGTTCAAACCCCACTGCAGTCAGCATGTCGTTGTGTCCCTGAAACACTTCACCCCAAAGTGCTCCAGTGGGGATTGCCCACAGTATTGAGTATGGAAGTCGCTTTGGATAAAAGCGTCTAACATGTAATGTAATACAAATAAATAGATGAGCAAGCGTAGGGCTGGCAGAACCTGGATGAGAGAACCTTCACACCCTGACCGCGTGGAAGGCATTATCTTCATTCTATTCTTTAACCAAAAACATCATTCTTTTCCAATATAAAGAGTAGATTTGTCCTCAACATCCACTGAACAGCAACAACAATAAAAAAGCTACCATTAATATGTCACATTACATCGTGGTGTTGGCTACTCTTAGCAAACAAGTTCAACTTTGATCAGATCAGCAACGTCAGCCAGCTTTACTTCCTAGGCATTGCTTTTTGGTAATGTTAAAGATATAAGAAAAAGGTTACTGTCATATTCTTTTTAGATATCATGAATTGTAATGTTCAGAAAAGATCAAGGATAATGTTTCTCTATTAGTATTCTCTAAGGCTATGTGCCACACAGAGGTCGCGTTAACCGAATATTTTCCGTCAATGACGGATTTTTTCTAACAATGACGGAAAAATCTGAAAGCAGTCCGTCATTTTGACAGATTAGAACACAACTCGGAACAGCGCCAAAATGTCCACCAGCGGCCCACATTATATTACATCCTTAGTGGCCAGGTAGACATCTTCATTCACACCCCTGTCCCGTTGGTGGCGAGTGTGTGTATATTAAGTAGCTATTGTCTAGTCTTGTTTTTGACCTCGTTGATTACCTCGTTG